CGTATCAGAAATCTGAACTTTGGTAAGAAAGTCAATAAAGTATTGATTTCTAGAAGTCCAGCTGATTTCTGAGTACATGTCAAAGCTAGTGGGAGCATAAGTGTTATGCTAATAATCATCATGTTAGTGGGAGCATGATAATTATTGTTAGTGTTGCAAGTTAGCAATGTTAATTATAGAAAACAAAAGTTTCAATTCGTGAGGCTGCAGGGATTGAAAAAGTTGTTTTGCTATAATTAAGGGAGAGGATATACTTCATTTCAGTTCTAAAGGCTTAGATTGAGACCTTAATCATCTTTAGTCAAGAATATATATATGAATTTCATGTTGGATTGGTTCAACTTAAGGAAATTCTATATATTGCGTTCTCAAAATTCGATTATGATTACGGCATCCCTCTTCATAGTCAAATTTTGAAAACATGGCAAATAAAAATATTGTAGCAAAAGACTGGTCTAGAATCATGTCTTTATGTGAGACATCATGAATCGTGTACCATTTGCTTTGGGTACAGGATCGATTGCATGTGCTATAATATTTGTCATTTCTAAATTTTTCCAAATGCCCAGAGGCATTAAGAAGGGAAAAGGTCTAGAATTGGATATGACTAAAATGATTAAGCAATTGTCGAGGACAATCTGAGGTTTACCAAAGATTGGTTGCTCAGGGACAGTTGGAAGTATAGTGCTAATTTTGGAAGGACCATATTGACATATTCTGAAAAGAGGCATCTCTTATTCAGAAGTGATAGTCAAAATGAGAATATGGAGTTGTCTCCATAGGTGGAAGTTATCTGTGTAAGATTAGAAAACTTAATGCAAGAAGCATGTCCAAAGCAATGTACTTTGAATATGAGACTTAGTTTCCATGGAGTTGATCTCCATTGGAATACCTTATAATGACTGTTGACAAGTCTTTGTGACTTTGTACATATTCATTACAGGAGGGTCAGTGCATATAAGTTTAAAATCTAAACAGATTTCGATAAATGATAGGAATTTGAAATTCTCACATTTTTCGATAAGGATTTGGGAGTGTGAAATTAGAATCATTGAAATTATGTTCAATTGGTTTATTTCACAAAGTAAGGATCATAGACAAACATAGAGTGCATACTTGGTGTATGGCAAAGCTATTGTTTAAGAAAAACATAGTGTACATGCTTGGAGCATGGGACAACTAGTGTTTTTAATTCAAGTATAAAGTTGATAAAACCGAAACAATGAATAATGAGTAATCAGTATGGTGATAAATAAAAGTGTTTATTTATATTCATAGGGTTTGATACCATATTTGATTCATTTATTCTTGTGTTTCACTTTGCATGTTTTGACTTCCAGAATAACTAAGTCGCTCTTCCTGAATGATTAAGTTATTCAAACCATCCACAGTCGGTCATATGTTGGAAGTAGATATGAATCAAGACTGTCATGGGTTGGTTTGTAGAGGTCCAAGTTGGTGGACAAAGTGGTGCTACAACACTCATGAGTGCTCATAAGTTCTGAGTATTGGATTCAACCCGCGCTCATTTGAATCACTTCATGGATTTTATCACGAGTGATCATGAGACGATAATATCTTATATTCTTCAAACCTAGAGATATGAGTTGTTACTATGAGTTGGTTATACATTGATTGCACGAAAACGCATTTGGTAACTCGATGTTATAAAACGTGCCTTTGTGTATGATTCAACAAGTAGTAGAACAAGCCATATGAGTCGAAGTTTATCCATTCCTTTTACCTTCGGGATAAAAGCGATATCTGTGGGCCCCTCGATGATTTAGCGATGACACATGTGAGTGCTTGGCCAAGCCAGGACTGATTTGATTTGTTCAATCAGTCAGTCATCATAAATCGAAAATCGGGAAACAACAAATGGACAGAGAGAATGATTATAATCCATGTCTCAGTCCATATGATATCTAGAATGGAGGAATATATGATCCCTTATCTAATGGACAAGTCATTGACAAGGTCAGAGTTCGACAGCGGCTTTAAGAGCTACGATTGCCAGTTAGGTTTTGAAGTCATACTCAATAATAGTTTTAGACTTATCCAAGTGGGAGACTGTTGGATTAATGTCTAAGTCCATAACTATATTTGGTATGTACTTGACCCGACCCGGCATGGTCCATTTGGGTTGCACTTCACCGGCACAATTTATATGGATAGTCTTTTGAGAATAGTATATTTATGATTTATATTAATATATTATAAGTTCTAATATATTAATATGGAATCATTTATTTAATTAGTATTGATCAAGAATTAATTTAGAATTAATTAAGTGATCAAAAAGAACTAATTAAATATGGACTCTTATATATATGGAATGGGCCAAGTTCATTTAGGTTGGGCTAAGCTTTCATGGATGGTCCATGGAGCTTTTAACCCATGGATCCTATGTAAATGAAAGGTCATGGGTATTAGGGTTTACATGGATGTAACCCTAATCCTCCATAATATATAAAGGGGTCCTTGGCTCACAAAATTGGCACAAGTGTGTGAAAATAAGAGTGGGCCGATTTTAGTGTGCATACATATTCTCTCAAGTTCTTCCAAGGTGTTTTGGTGATTTGTGATTCCATTTGAGGCTTCCACACTATTGGGGCTAAGCTCTTAAAGCTTGAAGACATCAAGCTACATCAAAAGGTATGTCATCTAACTAGAACTTTGTAGTATAGGTGCTTTATAATATGCTAGTTAGGATGAAACCTTGGAATAGTTAATATTTGCATGTATAATAGAGAAAACATAGATCCAAGGTTTATAGGGTTGCATGTACACCATGGGAGTGTTAGAATGCTCAAAACCCAACAAGGTTAGTGTCACCCTTTTGGGGGTGGTTGTTATTTGTTTTAATGAGTTTTGATGGCCCAGAGCATCTGAGCCTGTCGTTCGTCCTTTGGCTCGGCCTCGTAGTGTAAAGCTTTGGCTGGCTTTTAGGTGCGGACCCTAGTTGGTCTGCTTCGTTGGAACGTCCCTTTTTTTTACCTAAAGTACTTTGTTTTGGGGCCTTTTCTATGCCTCGGGCCAAGGAGAGTTGCACTCTGGCCCTTTTCATATAAACCAGACCGAGATCGACACCTCGAAGTCTAGGAGTTTATATGTTTCGAGGGAAAGGTTATAGTCCTTTAAAGCCTCTTGTTTGTCATGATCAGGAGTTGCGGCTCTACTGACCTTGTTGACATGTTTTTTAGGGGAAAATTATGAGCCCTTGAGGCTTACAATTGTGTTTTCCTCCATGATTTTATTGTTATGCGGCATAGATGATCAGTATGTTTTTTTTTCTATTTGTACAAAAGTATATTGATACTTGTTCGTTCTAAATTTTCATTGCATATATATTTTGTTTGATGTCTTGTAGACACCTACATCGTTTAGGTAGGTATCGGGGGTTCGGTAGCCGATGCTATTCTACTTTTAGGTCTTGTTTTGGCTAGTTGGGGTGTGATTATCCTGTGCGAGTTTGATCACATAGACCCTTCTCCTGATTCCTTCCAAGCTAGGACCATTGGCTTGGTCCTTGGGACTCCCATGTCATCGGGATGAGTTCTTCTTCTTCTTGGTCCTTCTTACTCTGTGCCTTTCATGTGCTTACATGTTCTCTGATGTTTGCGTTCACGTGACTGGCTGTTTCTGGGACAATCGTCCTTCGGAAGACGATTTTCAATCTGTTCCATTCTCTAGTGTCGGTTGTTTGGTTAGTATCTCTGGGAGGTTTCGTGTCATCTGGTGTTGCGTTGTTGTTATTGATTCTATTTTTCTCGGGGTTTTAGACCAGCTGCCATCCTGGGGAAAGCTTCTGCCAATTGTGGGCACTTGTTGTTGCTGGAAGCCTTCTGTCTGCATCTTCTTTTGCAGGGTGGTTCCTTGTCTTTCACTCCCTTGCTTTTGCGATCCCTTGGTTTTGTTTTCTGTCAGACTTCTTCTTCGTACCTTGTGTCTTCACTTCCCGAAGGCGTGTGGGCATACTTAGTGATATCCAGCCCTTCTTGGTGTTCTTTCTAACAAGACGCGATGTATCTGGCGCGGTAATGTTGTTGCTACCGCACCCTTCCCTCCAGGCTACATGCCCGGGGCTTGCGCTTGTTCTTCTTGTCGGGGGTGTGGGTGTCTTTCATCTCGTCTTTGACCGTGTTGGATGGGAGTATCATGGTCCGACTTTTTTTTGGGATGCGCGTGGTGGCCTACACGGTGATTGCCCATATTGGCCTTGCTCGTGTGTTAATGGTTGTGACCGTTGCTGAACCTTTGGTTGTTCTGAACTTGACCGTGCCATGTATTGTCGATGGGATAACTTGTAATAGAAAAAGAGCTGGGCGCCCAAGGATTATATCGTTATCGGACCTTTGCTTGACTACTGAGAACTCGATTGTCCTGGTTACTTGTTCCTTCCCATCAGCGCTGATTATAGTCAATGGTAGGTTTATGGTGCCGAGTGGCCACAACTTGTGTCCCGTCACTACTAGAAAAACAGCCTTTTACGACACGCAATGCATGTCATAAAACGCTCAGACGACGCGCAAATACGTGTCAAGGAAGACCCTATTATAACAAGAGACGACACGCTTTTGCGTAGACGACACGTATTTATGACGCTCATTTACGACACGCTTTTGCGTAGACGACACACATTTGCATGTCATAAACTTCAGCAACCATTTACAATATGCATATACGACGTGCCTTTACGATACTCTTTTACGCATAATACAAAAATATAGAAAAAAAATATATACCAAAACAATAAATTTCATCCAATAACATCATGTCAGAAAATTGTAATACATTGATATTAAAGGGATCTAATTGTACATTGTTATTAAGAGGTTTTCCCTAACTATATAACCTAATACTACATTGCTATAAAGGGGCACCTTCTTGATTCAGATATCATGTCAAAAAAAATCCTCCATATCATTAGTTTGTCATGACCTGTGTACTGGGTTGCTGTCCACCGGCCGTAGATGACAAGTAGTGACTTGAACATTAGCTTAAACATCATGCATGTCACCAACTCCAGTAGGTATGCACATATAGAATATTTCCAGCCATGCGGTTCTCTATAAAACAAAATGGATATAAAGTTTAGCTATTGAAACTATAAATATATATATATATATATATATATATATATATATATATATATACAATAAAAAAAACAAAAAAAAACTTAGAAACAAAAAATATATAAATGTGGAGGAAAACAAAAACTGAATATTAATATTATTAATTTTAATATTTTATTACAAATTTGACATTTTTTCTGTTTCCGTACTTTGACAATTTGTGCTGCTGCTGATTCCGGAGCCAATTCGCGACTGCATTCTAGAGCTGATTCTGCGGAAAGAGCATCCCAGACTCCATCACTTGAAATTACAAGCCGCCCACCAGCAGAAGATAGCTAAAGATCATGAATAAATAAAAGTTGTTAATAAAATGAGAAATAAATTGAGTTTAATTACAAAACTAACCTTCACTTGTTTGACATGAGGAACTGGAATAATGAACTCCCGAACATCTCTATCTCCAATAGATCTTCAAAGGCATAACCCGGCTCACCAACATTTTAAAGGACCAATCTATCATAAATATAAAAACATTGGTAAGTTAAGTAAGATCCCATTTGGCCATTTATATAGAAAATTTTTTAAAAAATAAAATTTTATAAGATTTTATATAGAAAAATTATAAAGTGATTTTTACCTCAGCAAGGAATCCAAATTGACCTTGCATGTGAGTGCTAACAATGTCTAACATTGTCACATTACGTTTCAAAACAATGCTGGTAAGTACTGCCTGAAAAATCAGGGACAATTTTTATAGTTGTGAATGACAAGTAACCTTTCAAATTTTTTAGTGCTTAAGGTACCAGGTGCTTTCAGGAACAATAAATAAACCTATTCAACTTTTCAATTTTAGATATACTAGGTTCCTAAAGTCAAAGTGTACCTCCTAGTCTTACCCTTCTATTCACAAAATCATTGTGCTACTATTTTAACAGGAAAATGAAATGCATGATATCATAAAGTGACACTCTCCTCACTTACCCAATACAACATACTAAAGAAAGTGAATGACCATTTTACCCTTGTATCTGCAAAACTACTAAATCTAATAGAAACATGGGTAGAACGGGAAAATGCAACATCTTAATGCATAGAGTGAGTGACACCCATTAGGACATTGCTAAAGAAAGTAAATGAAGTGTCTGAATGTGAGTAAATGACCATTTTACCCTTGCATTCACAAAAGAATAGTGCTACTATTAGCTACATGATGCTAAATGTATTCAAGTCAAAAAGAAACGAGCCTTTAGTCAATTTACCAATCTCATTTCCATGTGTCATGTCAGCAACATTAGTCTGGTCAACAATAGTCTTACTTCTGATTCCCAACAAGCTTCCATCGATCAACATAGCAATTTCAGTCCCATTATTGGTGTTATGAGATAAAAGCTCTAAAGCATGTTTTTTGTTGTTCTTTCTGCAGTTCCCTTTCCTCTTCGGCTCTCCTTTTAGCCTCATCAATCTCTTCCTCCTCTTTAATTCTATCATACATGTCTTCTTCCTTCTCCCTTAACCTCCTTTTTCTTTCTTCTCTATCATCTCCACTACTTCTATATTTCCTCTTTTTGTTATACCCATCATCGTTTTCTTGATCCAAAATCTCATATTTCCTATCTTGTTCCCTATCTTTTTCCCTTTCTCTCTCCTGTTTGTGTGCCCTTTCTTTCTCCTTTTCCCCGTTTTCCCACTCTTTCAAACGTGCTCTGTATCTGCGTTCATCGTCACGCATTTTGTATTCCCTTTCCCTCTCTCTTTTAGCCCTATCTTGCTCTCTTTCCCTTTCATATCTTTCCAATTCCCTTACCTTTTCACGTTTCAGGTCTCTCTCACGTTCTCTGCTTCTTCTACTGCTTCTGTCAGGTGAACTTGTTTCAGGTCTCTCACTGTTTTTGCTCCTCATTTCTTCATCGTTTCTATCTTCTGCTACATATGTAAGTCAAATAGTCAACCGATTAAGTCATTCTGTCCAGATTAAGTACAAAAAGAAACAGCCATGTACAAAGGAAGGAAAGAGAAACATCCCCTTAGTTATTTACCGTTTCTTGTTGTATCAACATCTGAATATTCAGGGGTTGAATTTGGAAGAACATCAGAAGCAACTTTTGGGGGGTGGAGGTGGTGGTGGCAAAGGTTTATTCTTTTATCCTCTCTTCTATCATTCCTGTAAGCTTTTCACTAGCTTCTATGTCTACTTCCTTATCCTCATTACACACAAGGCCAAAAGTCTCATATTCATCAGTTTCTTTCTTTTCTTCGCTCTTATCATCTTCCTTTTTGAATTCCTCCACAGAAGGCTCCTTTTTCTCTTCCTCTTAACCACCACCTTCAGTATTCTTCAAGTTCTCTTTTTTCTTCTCAACATAACTCTTGAGATACTCTTTAGTTGCATTATCAAACTTCAACTGTAAACTCAAAATAAAAAAAAATGTACAGATCTGATAGAGCATGATTTACATGAATATACACGAAGAAGAAAGATAGAGAATGTGGAAACCATACCATGAGCTCCTGACCATCAATACTTAATTTACTCAGAAGCCTTAAAGCACGCAGAACTCCTTCAACATTTCTAAATTCACAAAAACCAAAGCCCTTCAAAGCCCCAGTAGTGGGATCTGGTACACGTTTCCAACTTTTAACAGGCCCACAGAGCTTCAAATGACATATAAATGTGTAATAAGTCCATGAACATTGGGCAATAAGATATGTTTCTAGTAAAGATGTGAGAAAAAGAGGAACTTACCTGCAAAAGGGAGAGCATGAACTCATTGTCCACCGATGATGCTGTAACATCCGGATTTTCAGGTATGATAAAATGAGTTTTATTTTCTAAGTTATGAGGAGTGACTCGACGAGTTGGCTCCTTAACTCGTCGAGTAGGATCGCGACTTGGTGACGTGGAAAATGAATGGACTCGACGAGTCTACAAGCTGACTCGCCGAGTCAGTGCTGTTGGCAGAAATCCTAAATCTTTGGGCCTGAGCCCTATTTAAAGGCACTTGTAGCCTCCTTGGCCCTTCCTCCCAGTGTCTTCGTCCTTTGAGAGAAACCCTAGAGTTATTTGTGAGCTAGAGAGGAAAGACACTAATTGGAGGTCATTTCTTTGAAGAAGAAGGTCAAGAGTGTTGCAAGGATCTCAAAGGAGAGTTATTGGATCAGCTTCATCTTCATTCAAGCTTCAGATCTGGTACAAGCTCTTGTCTCCCTGGTGTTTGAATAAATTTCCTTTAGTTGTTGAGTTAGGGCTTGTAACATCTTTTGGATGGGGTTTTGGGTGCATCCAAACCCTTTTTCGAGTTTATTTGTAGATCTGGACCTTGTGAGGTCCAGAGAACCAGAAAGTAGGAAGCTTTGAGTGAGTAACTTTGGAACCTTAAAGCTATGAAGCTTCAATGGAGTCATAATGGTGTATAGAGCAAAATACACCATGCATGCGCCTCAAGTTCAGACCTTTACGTGGTTTTTGGATGTTAGAAGGTCAGATCTATAAGTTAGAGAAATAGATCTGACCTCAGAAGGTCTAATGAATATTGCCATGGAGGAAACTCGCCGAGTCCATGAGAGAACTCGACGAGGCGGATCGTGTTGCCCCGCGATTCGTGACCAGTGGTAACCCGTCGAGTTGGAAGGTTAACTCGACGAGCCGAGTGAGGCCTTAGAAGGATTCAGAGGATGCGCATGGACTCGTAGTCACCCGAGTGAACTCGACGAGTCTGGTCAAAGTTGGACCGTTGACTAGAGTTGACTTCAGTTGACCTTGGGGGTTGGTCAAACTGATTCAAGAGAGAGACCATGGAAGGGTAGAATGGTCTTCTACCCATTCCTTAGAGATGAGAGCATGAGGAAAGTATTGATTAGAGATATTATCATTTTGATAGGCGGAGGCTAGATCGGGGATATCGAGTACGAGAGTTTACTAGACATCATACGAGGTGAGTCTTCTCACTATACTTTACCTTGAGTGGTATCTATGTGCAGACCGGAGGGTCTTACGTGTTATGTGTATGTTTGAGTTTATGTGCATTGTGATATATGTATGCTATGAGTTATATAGACCGGACTGAAGGGTCCAACGATTTAGACCGGACTGGAGGGTCCAACGAGCTAGACCGGACTGGAGGGTCCAACGAGCTACGGGAATGGAGGGTCCCGCTGAGACACATTGACCGGAGGGTCATACCGAGTTATAGCCTCGAGTGGCTTATGTGTTGTATGTGGTATTTTGGGGAACCCACTAAGCATTTATGCTTACCGTGTTATGTGATATGTGTTTCAGGTACTAGCGAGGATCGCGAGAAGGCGCCGGCATGATTTGTACACACTGATAGAGGATTTTGTATTTGAGATTCTGGGACATGTTTTACCGTGATAACATTGATACACTTGAGTTTGAAATGATTTATATGAGATATGTTATGTTTGAAAAATGAAAAATTGTTTTGAAAATTATGTCATTACAAGTTGGTATCAGTGCCTTGGTTTGAGGGATTCGGATGCACCTTCGGGCGTATCTGAACTCAAACTGAGGATTTGAGAAAAATTTTCATAAAAGGGAACAATTTTTCTAAAAGAGTAAAAGATTTTGAGAAAAGCAGAAATGAGCAGTGTGTACGATCAGCCAGCGCCCGAACGGTGATTTCCTAGAGTAGGCTAGGTATTCATATTTAGGACTAGAGTGGCCTGATTTGTGATGCCTTAGCCTAGGAGATTACTGCTGCTATGAATTACTTCGAGAGTGAGTAGGTAGCAGCGGGGAGCATATGAGAGGTCTACTTGAGGGCAGCCTGTGATTAGCGAGATATAGAGTACTTGGGATCTGGAATCCTAGGAGGAGGACTTGGGGTGAATACTGATGTGGTGCGGAAGGTAGTATAGGGCCCGTACTACTGGAAACACCGGATCAGTGAGCAGTCCAAGTAAGAATCCTTAGGGTACTAAGGAACAAGTAGGGTTGAGTATCGAGTGCGAGTATACTTCAGCGAGTCTCTGATTTCTTTTGTGTTGTGTTTCAGAGACATCATGGTTGGGACGCGCCACAACCCAGGAGGCAGTGGTACCAGTGGTACCAGTGATGAGGAGATTCGTAGGCTGGTTCATGAGGAGGTGGCCGCAGCCATCCGAGCTGAGATTCTACAGATGTTTGGGTCTATCAAGACCACGTTGATTGAGACATTTGACGAGTGGTATGCCTCTCTTACCGAGGCTACTGTTGCTGCAGCCATCGCAGCCGTCGCCGCTGCCAGGCCACAGGGGGGTGACTCATTGATGTACCGCGAGTTCAGCAACACGAAGCCACCAGAGTTTGATGGGACTCAGGATCTGATAGTCGCGATGAGGTGGATCTCTGACATCGAGGGATGCTTCTACACATGTTCTTGTCCGGAGCATCTGAGGGTACGGTTCGCGCTAATCCAGCTTCGCTTGGGAGCGAAGGATTGGTGGAAGTTTGTGACAGCAGACTTCACTCCTGCAGAGATTACAGCGGTGACTTGGGAGAGGTTCACCACCATGTTCCGAGATGAGTATGTTCCCCCGGTGTAGAGGGAACAGTTGGCACAGGAGTTCTTGTACGTCAAGCAGGGGATGGAGTCTGTGACTATGATTACACAGATGTTTTACGAGAGGGCGTTGTTTTGCCCTGAGCACGTGTCTACCGAGCAGGCACGCATAAGTCGATATCTGAGCATACTGAGGAGGGACATTCGTGAGTTCGTGGCGAACTCGACATAACGGACCTTTGCCGAGTTCCAGGCAAATACCCAGAAGAGAGAGATTGAGCTAGAGACTCAGGCCAGGGAGGAGGCCGAGTCTCAGAGGAGGGATAGGCGGACGGTACAGTCTCAATCGGCGGCCAAGTGGGCAAAACCCGCCGACTCGAGATCCGTAGGTCAGAGGGGCCGCACTTGTGGGAAGTGCGGCAAGAGCCATAAGGGAGTATGCAGGGCAGGTGTGTGCTACAAGTGTGGGAAGGAGGGGCATATCGCGAGGGATTAACCCAAAGGAGTTTCGGTTTGCTTCCACTGCAACCAAACGGGCCATCGGAAGGCCGAGTGCCCACAACTACTTCAGGGATCAGCACAACGATCTGCACCTGCTGCTAGAGCTACTAAGATCCGTCCAGCGAAGGTCGAGGCACCGAAGGCTCACGGGAGAGCTTTCCGGTTGATAGCGGAGGAGGTCCACGCAGCGCCCGATGTCGTGGTTGGTATGTATTCTTTTATTTACTTATTCTGAGTATGAGATATTGTGCTTATATTATGGTATGCATAGGTACTTTTCTTGTGAGTTCTGTACCTGCTTTGGTGTTGTTTGACTCGGGTGCGAGTCGATCTTTTGTGTTATTAGCATTTAGTCAGCACATCAGTATCCGACGAGAGGCGTTGAGTCGACCTCTACGAGTTTTTATAGCTGAAGAACGAGCGGTTTATGCGACTGATGTGATTCGAGGATGTGTACTCGAGATTTTCGGCGTTGAGTTCCCGATAGATTTGGTACCGATTGCGATGGGGGATGTTTGTGTCATCGTAGGCATGGACTGGTTGAGCCGATTTGGAGCTGTTATCGACTGCGAGCGTTAGGTGGTGACCATACGAGACCCTAGTGGGGGAGTACTTACGGTGTATGGCGAGGGTACCCGATCTGGGTCAGCATTTTGCTCGGTCGACAGGGCGAGACAGAGTCTACAGCAGGGCTGTAGAAGGTTTGTAGCCTATGTGATGGATACACAAGTTGCCGCAGAGAGGCCGAGTTCTGTTGATGAGGTTCCGATAGTGCGTGAGTTTCCGGATGTTTTCCCCGAGGAATTGTCGGGTGTGCCTCCGGAGAGGCAGGTGGAGTTCCATATTGATTTGGTTCCGGAAGCGGTGCCTATTGCCAAGGCACCCTATCGCCTTGCGCCACCAGATATGCAGGAGTTATCCTCACAGCTTCAGGAGCTGCTGGGGAAGGGATTCATCCGACCGAGTAGCTCGTCGTGGGGAGCGCCGATCCTTTTTGTCAAGAAAAAGGATGGTTCACACCGGATGTGCATTGATTACCGGGAGTTGAACAAGTTGACGGTCAAGAACCGCTATCCACTATCGAGGATCGATGATCTGTTCGATCAGATGCAGGGTGCATCTTGGTTCTCCAAGATATACTTGAGGTTTTGATATCATCAGATGAGGGTGCATGATGAGGATATCCCGAAGACGGCGTTTAGGACTCGTTATGGACATTACGAGTTTGTGGTGATGCCTTTTGGGCTCACCAATGCACCAGTTGCGTTCATGGATCTCATGAACCGAGTGTGTAGGCCGATGTTGGATCGATCGGTGATTGTGTTCATTGATGATATTCTAGTGTATTCGAGATCCAGAGAGCAGCATGAGGAGCATCTGAGGGAGATCCTTAGAGTGCTGAGATCGGAGAGGCTTTATGCCAAATTCTCCAAGTGTGATTTTTGGTTACGAGAGGTCCAGTTCTTGGGACATCTCGTTAATCAGAATGGGATATTGGTCGATCCGGCCAAGATTGAGGCTGTCATGAGTTGGGAGGTGCCGAGATCCCCCACCGAGATCAGTAGTTTTCTGGGGTTGGCCGGCTACTATTAGAGATTTATCAGAGATTTCTCCAAGATTGTCGTTCCCCTCACCAGATTGACCCGGAAGGGCATTGCTTTTACTTGGGTTCCAGAGCAGCAGACCTCGTTTGAGACCCTTCGCCAGAGATTATGCGAAGCCCCGGTGTTAGCCCTTTCGGAAGGAATGGAGGATTTCGTGCTATATTGTGATGCGTCTATATCGGGGTTGGGTGCGGTGCTTATGCAGAGAGGGCACGTGATAGCATACGCATCGAGGCAGCTGAAGCCCCATGAGACGAGGTATCCCACCCACGATTTGGAGTTGGGGGCAGTGGTGTTCGCCCTCAAGATATGGCGCCATTATTTATATGCGGTTCGGTGTACCATATACACGGACCACAAGAGTTTGAAGTATCTGATGGATCAACCCAACCTGAATATGCGCCAGAGGAGATGGTTGGATGTGGTAAATGATTACGACTGTGAGATCCTGTACCAACCGGGCAAGGCTAACGTGGTAGCCGATGCTCTGAGCCGCAGGGCGGAGAGTGCCCTGATTCGAGATATATGCATGAGGATGACGGTGATGACTCCGGTATGGGATACCATCCGAGAGTCCCAAGCAGAGGCTGTGAGACCGGAGAACCGCAAGAGAGAGCGGGTGATTGGGCAGGTATCCGAGTTTGTTACCGATAGCCGAGGGCTTATGACCTTTCGAGGTCGGATTTGGGTGCCTTATACGGGCGGGGCACGTAGCACTCTGATGGAGGAGGCGCATAGATCGAGTTTATCGATCCATCCCGGGGCCACTAAGATGTATTTGGACCTGAAGAGAGACTACTGGTGGCCCTTTATGAAGAGGGATGTTGCATGGGTAGTAGAGAGGTGCTTGACCTGTCGCCGGGTTAAAGCCGAGCACCAGCGTCCGCATGGCAAGTTGCAGCCATTGGAGGTTCCCCAGTGGAAGTGGGAACAAATTTCTATGGATTTTATCACCAAATTGCCGAGGACCGCGAGAGGTGTTGATGCAATTTGGGTGATTGTGGACCGACTGACGAAGAGCGCTCATTTTCTTGCTATCAGTGAGAGCTCTTCTACAGAGATGCTGGTAGAGATATATGTGAGGGAGGTGGTGTCGCGGCATGGAGTGCCTATCTCGATTGTGTCAGACCGAGATGTACGTTTCACTTCCAGGTTCTGGAAGAAGTTCCATGAAGAGTTGGGAACGAGATTGCACTTCAGTACTGCTTACCACCCACAGACGGATGGACAGAGTGAGCGGACGATACAGACGCTCGAGGACACGCTTCGAGCATGTGTTATGGACTTTGGGGGAAGCTGGGACACCTACCTACCTTTGGCTGAGTTTTCTTACAACAATAGCCACCATTCGAGTATAGGTATGCCTCCCTTTGACCTTTTATATAGGAGGAGGTGTCGAACTCCCATCTGTTGGGGAGAGGTGGGGCAGAGAGTCATGGACAGCACTGAGATAGTGCAGAAGACGACCGAGCAGATTCAGCAGGTCAGACACAGGTTACTGACAGCCCAGAGCCGTCAGAAGAGTTATGTGGATAGGTGGCGATCCGAGCTCGAGTTCCAGGTTGGAGATTTCGTACTCCTGAAGGTATCTCCTTGGAAAGGAGTGATCCGATTCAGGAAGAGGGGCAAGCTGGGGCCCCGATACATTGGTCCGTTCAGGGTGATTGCAGGAGTGGGTAAGGTAGCATACCGTTTAAAGCTACCTGTGGAGTTGAGCCAAATTCATGATACTTTCCACGTATCCCTGTAGAGGAAGTGTATAGCCGATGAGACGACAGTAGTACCGCTAGAGGATATTCAGGTGGATGCGAGCCTAAACTACATTGAGAGGCCGATCACGATTTTGGATCGGAAGATCAAGGTTCTGAGGAATAAGGAGGTGCCTCTGGTCCAGGTCCAGTGGCAGCATCGGAGAGGGTCCGAGTTGACTTGGGAGCTGGAGACGGAGATGACGGAGCAGCATCCAGAGTTGTTTGCAGAGCAAGACTTCGAGGGCGAAGTCTGATTCTAATGGGGGAGAATTGTAACATCCGGATTTTCAGGTATGATAAAATGAGTTTTATTTTCTAAGTTATGAGGAGTCACTCGAAGAGTTGGCGCCTTAACTCGTCGAGTAGGATCGCGACTTGGTGACGTGGAAAATGAATGGACTCGACGAGTCGACAAGATGACTCGCCGAGTCAGCGCTGTTGGCAGAAATCCTAAATCTTTGGGCCTGAGCCCTATTTAAAGGCACTTATAGCCTCCTTGGCCCTTCCCCCCAGTGTCTTCGTCCTTTGAGAGAAACCCTAGAGTTATTTGTGAGCTAGAGAGGAAAGAGGCTAATTGGAGGTCATTTCTTTGAAGAAGAAGGTCAAGAGTGTTGCAAGGATCTCAGAGGAGAGTTGGTGGATCAGCTTCAGATATGGTATAAGCTCTTGTCTCCCTGGTGTTTGAATAGATTTCCTTTGGTTGTTGAGTTAAGGCTTGTAACATCTTTTGGATGGGGTTTTGGGTGCATCCAAACCCTTTTTCGAGTTATTTTGTAGATCTGGACCTTGTGAGGTCCAGAGAACCAGAAAGTAGGAAGCTTTGAGTGAGTAACTTTGGAACCTTAAAGCTATGAAGCTTCAATGGAGTCATAATGGTGTATAGAGCAAAATACACCATGCATGAGCCTCAAGTTCAGACCTTTACGTGGTTTTTGGATGTTAGAAGGTCAGATCTATAAGTTAGAGAAATAGATCTGACCTCAGAAGGTCTAATGAATATTGCCATGGAGGAAACTCGCCGAGTCCATGAGAGAACTCGACGAGTCGGATCGTGTTGCCCCGCGATTCGTGACCAGTGGTAAACCGTCGAGTTGGGAGGTTAACTCGACGAGCCGAGTGAGGCCTTAGAAGGATTCAGAGGATGTGCATGGACTCGCCGAGTCACCTGAGTGCACTCGACGAGTCTGGTCAAAGTTGGACCGTTGACTAGAGTTGACTTCAGTTGACCTTGGGGGTTGGTCAAACTGATTCAAGGGAGAGACCATGGAAGGGTAGAATGGTCTTCTACCCATTCCTTAGAGATGAGAGCATGAGGAAAGTATTGATTAGAGATATTATCATTTTGATAGGCGGAGGCTAGATCGGGGATATCGAGTACGAGAGTTTACTAGACATCATACGAGGTGAGTCTTCTCACTATACTTTACCTTGAGTGGTATCTATGTGCAGACCGGAGGGTCTTACGTGTTATGTGTATGTTTGAGTTTATGTGTATTGTGATATATGTATGCTATGAGTTATATAGACCGGACCGGAGGGTCCATTGATTTAGAACGGACCGGAGGGTCCAACGACCTAGACCGGACTGGAGGGTCCAACGAGCTACGGGACTGGAGGGTCCCGCTGAGACACATTGACCGGAGGGTCATACCGAGTTATAGCCTCGAGTGGCTTATGTGTTGTATGTGGTATTTTGGGGAACTCACTAAGCATTTATGCTTACCGTGTTATGTGATATGTGTTTTAGGTACTAGCGAGGATCGCGGTAAGGCGCCGGCGTGATTTGTACACACTGATAGAGGATTTTGTATTTGAGATTCTGGGACATGTTTTACCGTGATAACATTGATACACTTGAGTTTGAAATGATTTATATGAGATATGTTATGTTTGAAAAATGAAAAATTGTTTTGAAAATTACGTCGTTACAGATGCTATCTTGCAACATAAACTGTGGTCATTGGCTTTTCAGCTGGAGTTATTGTATTGATGGGTGGCCTAATGATTGTAGGGACCACTGGACCCCGTATAGCCATCATTGGTGGGCATGCTAATGATGGAATGACTCCCACTGCTCCAAGTGGCCTTTGAGGATATGCTGGTCGCAGCATTTGTGGATATGGAGAGGCATAACGAAGAATCCCTTCAAAAATCAGACAAAAATACTATCACAGAAAAAAAAAGATCAAATAGTGAAAGTATCACATAAAAAGTCAAATATCATCATTAACATATATAACTATATACCAAAATCTCAGATCTGATGTGAAGTTTAAAAAAAAGGAAATTTTAACTGAATTGAAAATTAAAACCTGAAGGGCTGTAACAAAGCTAATGCCATGTTCCATGGAAAGCTCGTGGAAGGTCAATGAATGATTTGATTGTTCCACTTCCATAACTCTCTGTCTCTAGCTGAATCACGAGCTTAAAACAACAAATTTGGGGGAAATTGAAGAAGAAGTGATCATTTGATATCAACAAAAGAACCCTATCTTTGATCGTACAATGCAAATTTGAGAAATGAGTTAGTGAAACTTTGGAATAACTTTTCAGTTAGCCGAGTTGGGAAGCATCAAATGCTTGTTGTCTGGATTAGATTTGGAAGTAATAGAAAAGAATATATTATAGGAGAGAGAGAGAGAGAGAGAGCATGTGAGAGATGAGTGGGAGATAATGGTGGAGTAGAGGTAACTGGCGAGGGCTAGTTCAGATTCGGTGTCACGGCTAGCTTCGACTTTGATTTCGTTCCAGACCCAGTCGCATTCGTTTTCTCTGCTGTTGACGGCGGTTTGTGGAGACGATGATGACATCGTGTACTGTGATGTGGCATTCCGATCTTGTACCGACATCTTAAGATGGCGGAAGTGTTTGCTTAGGTACTTCGAACTCTTAAAGCTTATGAGGTTCGATGGTGGTGGTGGCGGCTTAGGGCTTGCAGAGAGAGAGAGAGAGAGAGAGAGAGAGAGAGATTGAGAGGTAGAGGAAGACAAACTGCTTAAAGGATTATTAGGGATTTTTGGTAGAGGATTTTAGAAGAAGAAGAAGGAGATGCATCAGCGGGCTGTTTAATTTTTTAGGATTTCATTTCCCCCCAAGAGAACGCGCCTTCCTAAAAAAATATAAAACGACACATTTACACGACACGATTTTTATGATTGGTGCCCTCCGTGTTTTTTTTGTTGGACACTAATTTTAGGGCACGCAAAAATGCGTGTCCTCTATCCTTCAAATTTTACAAAACTGACTTCATTTTTTAGGACACACACAAATGCGTGTCCTCTATCAGCGCGTGTCATTGTCTGCACGTCATTAAAGGGCTGTTTTCTAGTAGTGCGTGAAGTCAACGAGTGGTGTGTGGGCTTGGGGTTTTAGGTTCCTTCTCCAGCATGGCGCGAGTTGCTTGAAACAGTGTTCGTAAAGGATATCGGTGTTGCTACCTCCGTCAACTAAGGCTCGCTAGGTCTTCTGATGTATGACTGTGGCGGGGATTATAATTGGATCAGTTGGGTCCCATTCGGGCACTCACGGGCCTGATGGCGAGAAACTGATGTTTAGAGTGCCTCCAGGTGGGATCGCATCGCCTTTGGCCGACCGTTGGTATTTTTCTCGATCCGTAGGTCTCGCTATTGTGAAAATCTCCTCTTTTTTTATTGGTTGTTTGATTGCTTCCTTGCAGGTTCTTCTATCTTTTTGTTCAACTTTGAACTTTGACCGTAGGGTCCTTGCTATTTTTGTTAGGTCTCCGTTCAATTGCTTTTCTGCTACTTCTCTTTTGAGTATCGTGCGTTCCCCGGTGTCGTGTGTTTTGCTCTTGTGGTATTCGCAGTATTTGCTTTTTTCCTTCTCCGTCCATTGTGGGGTTTTTTCTACAGCGTGTACTTCCGACCTGTGGCTCCTCGGATCGTCTTTAATGAACGGGAAAAATATGCGGGAGGAATGTCTCGAATGTCTGCTCTGTTTTTCGTGGTTTCCATCGTTGCGCTCTTTATGGTTGTGGCGGGAGTAGGAGTCGGCAGATTCTTGTTTGAGGTAGGCATTCGCTACAAACTTTAAATTTGCTTGTTTGTGTTCTTATCCTTCGATCTGTCGAAGGTATTTCTCGACCCTATATTTAAGATCATCTCTGGATTTTGGTGTTGTGCCTTGCATTTTTCTTGATAGGGGACCTAGGAGTAGCCCATGGGCGAACGCGCCTGTGACTAATAATTTTTCATGGCCTGGGACGCTTAAAGTTGCTAAGGTGAACCAGTCATAATATGATCTGATGGACTCTACCTCCTTTTGCTTGCATGCCATGATCGAGTTTTCATCTCGACTTTTCTCAACTGCATGAAATTGTGGAGGAATAGATGTCTCAATTGTTCAAAGCTGGAGATGCTTCCTGGTCGTAACACCTTGAACCAGTTGCTAGCGTTTCCTGACAGTGTGACCGAGAAGTAGGTGTAGGTGAACCTCTTATCCATCCGAAGCGATGTCATCATCCATTCAAAAGTGTCTATGTGCTTTTTGGGATCTGTCGTGCCGTTGTATTTTGGGATCATGGAGGAATGTGGTATTACGTACTGCATGAGCTCCTGGCAAAATGACGAGCTAATGCTTGGTACCGAGTCGTGCATGTGTGGATATGCAGGTGATCCACTGGCCATTGCGTGCTGCATGTGATAGGGTGGGCGTACCCTTGACCCTATTTGTAATGGTACCCATGGTTGTACCCCGACGTTTGTGGCACATACACTACCTGTATAGGGTATGGATGCACCAACTAATTTGACTGTGCTTCGACTCCATTGGTCCCATGGTGTGTGAGTACGCCCCCTACACTAGTTTGCCTTGACTGTTGTTGTTTTGCGGCTGTGTTGGGGGGTACGTACCTTGGTAGTAGTAGAGTATGGGTTGAACGCTGGTTGTTGTGCGAATAGCGGGACGTGCGACATGGTGGCCATCAGGGAAGACAGGTGACTGCAGGCATTGGCTGTACAACGGATGGGATGGTGCTCGGGCACCAGGTGCTGGTTCATGCCTTCCGCGTGGATGGTTACTGGCGAGTTTCTGGCTGTGATTAGGTGGTCGGTGCCCTTCGTGGCCGGATGTGTCGTTGCGGCGAGTGTCGGTCGCTATAAACTAGCGATGAACTCTGGCACGGAGCCGACTGGCGGCATTGTCGGTGTTTGTGCTAGAAGCTGTCCTTCCAGTGTCGACAGACTGTTTTTGTAGAGGGACTGCATTGGTCGAACCGGGCTAGTGGTGTCACCTTTTTGCCGATATGGTCCTTTGTCCGTCATTTTTGGCGCCTGGTGTTGTTGAATGGGTTTTACAGGACTGAGTGCAAGCTCGATGACGCCAACTGTTGTGATATTTCACCAGCTTAACTCCGTCTTTCTGCCGGTGGAAATGAAGAGCTTGTGGATCACAGCAAAGAAGATAAGATCGTCAGTCGTCGTCCGGGAGGTTGTCCCGGAACAAGGCTCCGACGATCAAGTTAGTGAGGGTCTGAGAGAGAGAAAGAGAGAGAGAGAGAGAGAGAGAGAGAGAGAGAGAGAGAGAGAGAGAGAGAGAGAGAGAGAGAGAGAGAGAGAGAGAGATAAAGAGAGAGAGAGAGAGAGAGAGAGAGGGGTTAAAGCGTAGAGAGAGTGTTAAAGGGTTTTGATCTTGTCCCCTTCTCTTGCGGGAGAAGGGTGCCTTTTATACCAGTGGATAGGGGGAACAGATCCCCGACAGTATCTTCTACCTTTTTAGCTTTAGCAGGGGCTAATGGCTTTTGATTGGAGGATCATGTTCCATGGGTGGTTGTTCTTTATTGGTGCAGACTCTGCCAGAAGCGGCGTCGAGAGCACTACATATGTTGCTCTGGGGAACTCTTGGTACTGTTTTGTCTTCAACGTGAGCCTTGCTGCTTGGGCAACAACAAACGGATAAGAGGTCTCGAAGGTGAGGGCGAAGGCCCGACGTTAGTCACACGTTGCTCCTTGGTCGATCCGTCTGTCGAACTAGCGGTTCCGTTATCTTTGACGGATTCTCGGTGGGATACGTAATAGAAGATATGATCAATAACACCAAAAAGGAGTAAATTGAAAATGTTATCAACCAATTCTCATCAATTGTTGAATGAATTTAACAAGAAGGAGATCAATTGCTTACCAAGAATGGTCCCTAGCCCCTGAATCAAACCAAAATCGCGGCCTCTCACTTTTCTTTTCTTGATTTACTCTCAAACTCAATTCTCTTCTCCCTTGCTCGATTTCTCCTTCCTATTTGCTGCTAGTATTCTCTTATTTATTTATTTATTTATTTCCAATTGACGCACAAAAAGGGGAAGATAGGAATCAATTCTCTTATTCGGTTCTTAACCTAATTAAGACAAAATGAACCTGTAGGCAATACAAGGGAAAAAATGGACGATCCATATTATTTCCTATTATCACGTCGTTAAGAGCATAGGTTTTTTTTTTATTTTTCAATTAAGTGTAGGTGATTTTAGTGTCACCGAATATTTTCTGTAATTGAATCTTATATGGGAGCTAAGGAGCTCATTATTTGTACTCTATATTATATGTTCAGTGAATGCGGAGTTCGGGCATATATAAGATCGAATTATAAGCCGATAAGACAAAATGACGGGGCCAAGGGGGCCGCGCTCCCTTGCAGGGTCCAAGGGAAAGAGCGCTTAGTGGGGTCCAAGGGGTAGATTCACTGGTGGTGGTCTAAGGGACAGAGCCCCGAAAGGTATTCAAAAATTTGAATTAGTTTGATTATGGAAAAACCAAATTCTAGTGGGTGATTATGTTAAGATTGACAAATCTTGTCAGTTTTGGAAACCAATGATTAGGGCATTAAATTCGAGATTCTCCTAACTAATTTAGAAGATAAAACCCCTAATCCTTCATGTATATATACAACTCTTATTTTGAGCAGTAGAGAACCGTTCTTAGCTCTTCTTCTTCTTGAAAAAACTCAGAACTCTCTAGTGATTTGTCTTGTGTTTCTGTGCCTAGATACACAAGTATCCTTTTGGATTATCCTAGAATGGATTTCCTATAACCCAGAGATAGGCTGGAAATATTAGTTCGGAAAGTGAAATTACACGATCTATAAGGAATACGGTTCGCCACCATCAACCTACTTACATTACTCCCCAACATTAACCCCTCAATTATCATAAGTGACTTCTAAGATTTCCTAACCCTAATAAGTTATCAATTCAAGTTTTTTTTTATGACCCTTTAGCCACTCAATTCATATTAATCCTTTTTTATGATTAAAATTATCTTAAATACCCCAACATTACTCTTTTATGTATAAAATAACATCATTTGTTATTTTTATTTTATTAAATTTATAATCCTAAACACTGAAATGACTATCGAAAATTAATATTCAAGTAATGAAAACTAACCTTGTTGAAAGATGGAAATTTTGGGTCGTTACATAAGCATATCTTAGACAGTTGGGCACTTAAAGAATTTGATCGTTGCAAAACCCAAATACAGTCATGAGCTTAACACATAAAGCGAGTTAACAGTGAGCCACTCAACAAAACAACAAATGAAGATGGTCAACCACATATGCTATCAGTTTTGCAGCAAAGCATACGACAACCTAAGCAATATATATATATATATATATTATATATATATATATATATATATAATATATATATATATATATATATATATATATTGTCACACACACCCCGCTAAACTGGAAACGCATGATATGACAACGATAATGGTTTCATTGCATAAGATAAAGATACATCACCATAGTAGCAATTTAAAGTTTACAACCCATAATTTAAACAAAACAAAATACAAGTTTCCCAAAATAACATTGTTCAAAAGTTTACTTCATA